GACCACCAAAGTCTCTCAACTATCCGGCAAAGAACTAAGAAGTAACAATGCTTGCACTTCATCATCAAGTGCTAACTTCATAGTAGTTAGCTGGTTCACAAGCCCTTGAAAGTCACTCAAATGCTCTGAGACACTATGCCCATCCTTGAACTTCAAGTTCACAATTCTTCGAATGAGTGAGGCTTTATTTTGAGCCGATTGCCTCTCATACATGGACTCCAATTTCTGCCACAATTCATCTGCTCTTGTATCTTTTGCAACATGATGAAAGATGCTTTGGTTAATCCATTGTCGAATGATTGCCACCACCTTTCTATGCAAGACCTCCCATTGCTTCTCAGTCTTGTCTTCCGGCTTCTCGCTGCCATTTTCAATTGGCTCATAGAGATCCTTGCAAAACAGAATATCCTCCATCCGTGGCTTCCAAATAGAGTAGTTGGATGATGTCAACTTAATCATTGCTCCACTTGAGTCATCCATTCTTGCCATTCACCAAACACAACCCCCAAACAACCAGGCTCTGATACCACTGTTGAGAAACCGGGCAGCAACCACAAGCAAGAATAGAATGCACAAGACACAATTTTTACGTGGAAAACCCAAATCGGGAAAAACCACGGGACCTTTGTCCAAGCCACAACTCCACTAGACTTTGGTGGAATTACAAGTCCTCTCTAGACTAGCTAGAGGATTACAAACACCTCAAGAACACCCTTCTTGGATCAACAATCAACCACAATAGCTCTCACCAACATGGTGGATAACTAGAACAAGAGCAAGGCAAAGAGAGGTTTAGAGATACCAAAAAGACAGATTCGTATACCTTCTGCCCAGCAGCTATTCCCAATGAACTAGAGCTCCAAGAGACGATCCCTCTGGTCAGATTGAAGCACAGATAATTTCGAACCCATTATCCAAATTTCAGGACGATCCAACGGTTTAATCTTCCAGAACGCTCACTTGAACAGGCTGCCCTGCTGCAGAAACGAAAAAACTCCAGCTCTTTCTCTCTTCTCTCTTTTTCCTTATCTCTTCTCTTTTCTGATTCTCTCTCTAAAAATGAAAGGCTGTCACCTCTTTTTACTTTTTGACTAGACAATAACTCTCTATTTTGAAAATAGAGGATCTTCTAGAAACCAACCAAAACTCAAACTCAAACCGGTTAATCCAACCACCATATGAGTTGGACCAACCCAACAGTTTCTTCTCATGCTAGCTGGGCGATTGGATGCAACGCTACCTTCGTGATGGAAGTAGATGCTTATCTTTGGACTGGCGTGCTGGTTTTTGTCGAATTGCAGGAATAACCGGATTTTTGCAGGAGGGAACACTTCAGCGAGGTTCTGGTTAAAAGGATCGAAGCTTGGGTGGGGGTTATCCAAAGTGCGCATATGGAGGAAGCGACCCTCAACGTCCGACGGGAGGTGACAAGGAAAGAGGTGTTGCTCTAGTGGCAGCCGACTGAGGAGGGATGTATTACAGTTAACACAGATGGCTTGGTCAGGAGTACAGACTCGAGAGGAGCAGGGGCGGGATGCTACGGAATCACATGGGGCGATGCCTTAGGAAATTTGTTTCAAACTATGGAGCTTGCACGCACAATCACAGTGGTGGAGTTGCGATGATCCCTGGAGGGATTGAATTACGCCGGCAAAATGGGAGCTCATAAGGTGGGACTACATTCTGATTCTCACGTGGTGGCGAAATTACTTAAGGAGATGCCGAACATAACTAACTGGTATGCTCCAATTATTCAACGGGTATGGAATGTGCTGAACAGTTACGATGATGCTTGAGTTAGGTATGTCTACCGTGAACAAAACCATGTGGTTGATTACTTAGCAAGCATGAGACAAGGCATCCATATTGGGGGTTTCTATTAATAATGTTTGAGAGGCGAACTTGAACCATTGGTTGTATCGAGATGTTATTAGTAGGGGTGGCAGAACGGTTTTCGGTTAGCAGTTAACCGATCGGTTTCAACCGAACCGACCGGTTTTTGGCTAACCAAAAAACCATATAATGTGGCAGCGGTCGGTTGGCAGAGGAGATGGGAAGGGGTTCGGCTAGCCGACTAACCGGGGTCGGAAACCGGCGGTTAACCGGCTAACAGACCCCCTTCACTTTCCCCAAAACGAGTTGTTTTATCCGCCCCCTAACCCTACTACTTCGACCTCGCTCCCCCTCAACTCCTTCGACCTCGCTGACTTCCCCCTTCCCCCTTCTCGCGCAGCGGTGCAGTCGACGCAGAGAAAACCCCCTCCGGCCTGCCGCCTCCACCTCGTCTCGCCCCGCCGTCTCCCTCTCATCTCCCCTCCACCAGCCACAAGACCACCCTCGTCGACTTCGATTCGTCGACCCTCCACCAGCAGCAACCGGGCAACAACCCCGATGCCTCCACCCTCATCGCCCCGCCGCCTCCACCATCGTCGGCGTTGACCCCCCACCAGCCAGGCACAGGCAGCAACTCCGCCGCCTCCAACAGCCACTCTCGCCGCCGCCTGCTTCTTCAGAGCTGCTCGTCGGTCGTCGCCCTCTCCTGTTTCGGCGAGCTCGTCGCCCTCCCAACGTCTCCAAGAAGAAGAAGACTCCCGCTGTGACTGCTTGTCGGAATTCCCTGGCGGAGAGAAGACCCAATTCAAGTTTACAAAGCCCAAAACAATTCATCACCAAATCTACAATAAACACCCAGCAAAAGCATCAATCAAACAGGGGAAGGACAACAATTTCAACATTGAGGAATCTAGAAAAAAGAGATGGGAGGATTTTGGTACATGCAAGAGGGAGTTGCCTCTGTTTTCCAAGGAGAAGGCTCCTTCTGATCTCCCCTACTCTTCTCCTTCGGTTCGAACGCTGGTGAGGAAATGAGTGGTGGAGAATTTTTGCTTTTTTTTAATTAATTTTTAGTTTTTTTTTTTTTAGAAAAGGTAGTTTTCCGGTTGGCCGACTAACCGAGTCTAAAACCGAAAACGACCGGTCGGTTGGCCGGCTAACCGTGACCTCTTCCACGGTCGGTGGTCGGCAGGTATAGTGGGTGGCTCGGTTTAACCGATAACCGGATTTTCGGTTAAACCAAAACTGACCGACTGCCACCCCTAGTTATTAGGGTATCTAAACTTCAAATGATTAATAATAAGATGAACTCCAACTTGAAAAAAGCCAAATATTTACCATAATCAATTCGAATTAGGGTCGAACTTCGACTATTAAACATAAACCTATAGGGAAGTACAATTTCAATTTAGAGGTTAAACAAGATTTCACAAGTTTTTTTAATAACAATTTCATTCATTTCAATCCCCATAAATTGGGAGGGAGGCTTACAATAAAGGAGATATAATGTCAAGAACTGTTATCCAATCAGTTGGTAACGAATTACTTTGTGCTATTTTTAGCAACCCAATCTGTCTTCTTGTTGTGATGGCGGTTTGTGAACGTGACTTGATGCGAATAGAAGATGAAAGCGAAGCATAGCACCGTCATGCCACGATGATGGTGTATTACTCAAAGCTTCAACCAAAGGTTTGCAATTTAAGAGGATCTCAGTCGGGGTATGATCTGCAAACGTCATCAAGCATGCTTCCAGGTAGGGCTGTTAATGAGCCGAGTCGAGTCGAGCCGAGCTTTGTCATAGTTCGGGCTCGGCTCGTTAATATATTTCCAGGCTCGAGCTCGGCTCGTGTTCGTCACGAGCTTTAATATGCAAGCTCGAGCTCGGCTCGTTTATGAAAATGAAAGCTCGAGCTCGGCTCGTCAAATAAGCTTAACGAGCCCAAATTCGAGTTCAGCTCATAAAATGTTCATGATAGCTCAAGATTGACCTAGAACTGCGCACAAAATTACATTCAAACCTGTAACAAAGTCTAGAAAAGTAAAACACAATATTTATCCCAATTTCAATATATAAAATCTATGAATTCTAATCCTTTTTTTATGCCAAAATATTAAATGAGCTTGTTCACGAGCTTTCGAGACAACATGATATGGCTCGAGTTCGGCTCGTTTAGTTAACGAGCTTGTTCGCGAGCCGGCTCGATTAAAGCGAATCGAGTGTCGAACGAGTTTTTCTCGAGTCGCACACCGAGCCGTTCATGAACGACTTGGTTCATTAACAGCCCTACTTCCAGGAAAGCATGGGCCTCAACCTCGATCGAGAATGACAAATGACTTCACCTGCGCTGTTGTACAAAAATGTATTTATAAGTAATTGCCTCATACCATCGCAAATCTATTCATGGGAATTAGTAAATAAAACAAGCATGTTTCCAGCCTCTGTTTTCATAATCGGACCGGAGACTGAATCGGAAAAGTTAGTGATTTAGGGTTCAATGGTTAATCGTGACAAAACCGTTGGTGAACTGTTGTTAGAACCGTTTAGGATATATAACATATAATACTTGTATATTACACTAATTTAAGAATGAAGTTATCATTCACCATAAACAATTTCAAATTCATATCATCACCAAAATATCTATTAAATCATTCAAACATTCTCACAAAAGAAATCATATTTTTCTCATTTAAATTAAAAATTACGGTGCCAGACGTTAGTGGAGAACATAGAGTCGACAACAAGATTCGAAAATGAGAAGATGAAGCATATATAAAATTAATAATTATGGTTTGATGGTATTAGTTTAAGTGTTAAAGTATTTTTTAAATTTTGTTGCTTAAAATAATGAATCAGTGGACTAGTTAAACCGTGGTGGTTCATATGATTTTAAGTGGAACCATGAAAAACCTTTTGATCCATCAATAACTATCCAAGTAATGAACCAGATCGCTATCATAATTTATTTGTTGGTTCTACTAGCCTGACCGAGTGACCGTTAATCTGGTTCGATTCTTATAACAATGGTTCCAATGAACAACCCCATAATCCGCCTCCTAGGTCCAAGGTCAAACGACCCGTCACAAGTCAGAACGCAACTAAAACAAAGAATCACGACATGTTTAAATTACCAGGACTGAAATTATTATTTTTTCTCTCTCCTAATAATCGTTAAACTCTACCAGTCGATACTTCCTCTGTCTCTCACTCCCTGACCTGTCTCTCCATCGACTCGTTCAGGCCGAGAACAGAGCTAATCGGCCGGCGGAGCAGCAACCCGCGTGATGAACAGGTTCAACCCCGCCGATGATTGCCAGGCATGAGCAGAATTTTCTCTCGCCCTCTCCGTTTTCGACTTTTACCGCCTCCTTCTTCTACCAGTCGCGGAACCTCTCCTTCCAGCGACAAATCGCTCTCTAACCTGAAAACCATGGCGCTTCTACTTCAGCTTCAGCTCAATCCTTCTCTTTCTCGACTTCCTTTTCCTCCACGCCCGGCGATTGTACCACCAAAGTCTCTCCAATTGTCGCCTAATCTTCTCCAAACTAGGAAATTCTCTTCTAAACCCCTCCTAAAACCCCTCAATTCCTCCCGACTCCCTCCTCTCTACGCCTCCGCCGCGGCGGCGGATGAGGAGGAGAAGTCGCAACCGGAACGGCGGGAATTCGCCGAGGATTCAGCCTCTCGCACGCTCCGCGCTTTCTCCCTGATCAAACCCTACTTGCTCTCCCAATGGAAGTTCATCCTCCTGGGATGGCTCTGCAGCCTCGTCTCCGTCGCCTCCCTCTGCCAAGTCGTGTCCCGGTTCGGAAACCTCTCTTCTTGCGTCGGGAGCGCGGATGCGACCAAGCTGATCACAGGAGGTTCGGCTCTAGGCGTTTTCTTCATGTTCAAACTGGCTGCCACTTACTTGCAGCAGTCGATGTTGTGGAAAGCGGCGTTGAATGCGGTTGCTGACATCAGAGGTGATGTTTTCCGAGGGGTTTTGGGGAGGGAATTAGGGTTTTTCGAAGGAGGAAGCGGCGTGTCTTCTGGAGATATTGCTCACAGAATCACAAGTGAGGCCGAAGATGTTGCCGATACTCTCTATGCTCTTCTCAATGTGAGTGAATAGCAATATATTAACCTCCATGGTTGAACTAGACTATAGGATAACTTTGGTCTGGACTTGATACATGTTTAGTTTGTATGAACAGACCGTTGTACCTGGTGCTCTGCAATTATCAGCAATGGCGACCCAGATGTTGGTCATTAGCCCTGCCCTTTCCGCGATTTCGGCCATGGTGAGAGGAAGGAAACTGTGTGCAGCTAGCATGAATGAACTGCCCCTTTATTATTGCCATCTTCTTTACTTCTGCATAGTTTCCTGATTCTGCTTGAGATGTGTTGCAGGTTATTCCTGGTACCTCTCTTGCTATTGCATACCTTGGTGAAAGGACGCGGAAGATATCCAAGGAGGCACACCTTAGTGTTGCTAATCTCTCTGCCTATCTCAATGAGGTATAATCTGACATTTTAAAAAGGAGAGTTGAGTTTGTTACTTGTTGTCATCCTTTACCTTTCTTCTTCTTTCATATCATGCAGGTCCTCCCTGCAATTCTCTTTGTTAAAGCAAACAATGCAGAACTCAGTGAGAATGTCAGATTCCAAAGGCTTGCCAATGCTGACCTATTGGCACATCTTAAAAAGAAGAAAATGAAGGCACTCACCCCACAAATCATACAGATTATATATTTTGGAGGGTTGTTTACCCTTTGCGTTGGATCACTTGTAGTCTCAAGGGGTTCTTTTGATAGCCGCAGCATCGTTTCTTTTATGACGTCATTGGTTTTCTTGGTCGAGCCAATCCAGGTAGGTTCACAACTGTACATCTTGATATTTTTATGAAAGAACATTAAACAATGAATTCAATCCTCTATTCGTCTGTGTTGGTATCCACTTGCCATGCTTTTGATCTTGAGAACATGTAACATTATCAAAGAGTTGTTCCTTTATATTTTCCTATCTGCTTGCTCGACTCCGACTTGGTTTTGGTTCCATTGTTGATATATCGTCGTCTCTATTTAGCTATTTGCTGTTGTTTTGAAGTGATTGATAACTGTCCAAAAATACCTTGCAGGATGTTGGGAAAGCATTCAATGAGTGGAAGCAAGGAGAACCTGCTATAGAGCGATTGTTTGATTTGTCCAACTTAAAATCTAAGGTAATCTAGTGTTCTAGTGAGCTGTTTTTCATATGAGCTTTCTGGGTTTATGTTGGCCAACTGTTTTTTGGAAAAAAGAGGAATTCAACTCATGAATTCCATATTTCTTATGGCATGCCCACCTAGTCGCTAGTGCCAGTTAAGCAGTTACTACTCATTTCTACACCTTCTACTTTCTTCTCATTTAGCATGACAAGTGATGTTACTGTCGTGGGCTGTCTTTTGATTTCTGAAGAAACTTCTTTCTGGTTAATCTGATTGCTGTCATCTTTTACTTATAGATTGTTTGGTGAACATACCAGGTGATTGAAAAGCAAGATGCCATTGAGCTGGAGACTGTGAAGGGAGATGTGAAATTTTATGATGTTTCCTTTAGATATGGGGACGAGAGACCTCTTGTGCTGAATAAACTTAACCTTCACATCCAAGCTGGTGAAACTGTTGCACTCATCGGGCCATCTGGAGGAGGAAAGACAACCCTTGCGAAATTGCTTCTGCGGCTTTATGATCCCTTATCTGGTACGCAATCTGTGAGTTCACTGTTTACTCCCCCCCCCCCCCCCCCCCCCCCCCCCACCCCACACACACTTCCATCCTAGTGCAACTTGCTTATTTGAAGCTCCACGTTGACAGGTGGTATCCTCTTAGATAACAAAAATATCCAGAACGTACATTTGGAAAGTTTGAGGAGACATGTTGGTCTGGTATCTCAAGATGTTGTGAGTGATTCTAGACTTCCTTTATCATGAGCTGGAATATGTTGTTTGAAGCCACTTGATCTTTAACAACTCATTAAGATCATTTTCTTCAGACAATATTTTCAGGGACAGTTGCTGAAAACATCGGATATAAAGACTTGACAACAAAAATAGATATGGAAAAGGTTCAGATGGCTGCAAGAGATGCGAATGCCGATGAGTTCATTAGGATGCTTCCTAAGGGATATGAAACAGATGTTGGACCAAGGGGCTCAAGCTTAAGCGGAGGCCAAAAACAAAGGTGAAGCAATTTTTTTTAATAATCTTTTATCATTATTGCTACATCTTGTTTGCTGTAAACAACAATGAATGGCTAATATATCACTAGAAAAGGCTCGTTGATCAATTTCGGGTGCTTTGTTCATGCAGGCTGGCTATTGCAAGGGCTATCTATCAGGACGCCTCCATACTGATATTGGATGAGGCAACTTCTGCCTTGGACAGCAAGTCTGAGTTGCTTGTAAGACAAGCTCTGGAGAAGCTGACCAAAAATCACACGGTAAGGATGTTACCGAGTCACAGCAGGAGACCTGGCTATGCACCTCGTTGCATCTTACAGAGTTGGCATTAGTTAAGCCTTGAAATATTTGCTTTAGTAATCCTCAGTTAGAAAGAATTCACTCCGAGGCCCCTTCCTGCAGTAGAGAACCAGAGTAACTTTCTTTCCAAATGCATCGTGGAGCTAGCTTCTCTTTACCGACACCAGTATCTATGTTTATTACCTTGTAGGTACTTGTTATAGCCCACAGGCTGGAGACGGTTCTGATGGCTAACCGGATACTGCTTCTGGCCAACGGGGAGCTTCAGGAGCTGAGTCGATCGAGTCTTCTGAACGAACGAGTAGCCAACATGGCATCAAACGAGATCGTTATCTGATGAAAGAAAGGCGTTGTTGTAGCTCCACTTTCTTAGACGCACAGCATTGAGAAGCAAAATTGCCAGCCATACTGCCACGATGTCTCTGTCGTGCTGGCCGTCCTGCTTATCATTTGGTTGATGAAGAAGAATGGCTGCTGCAGTACTACATAGCTCATTTCTAGGATAAGGCCCAGATGTATATAAACTAATTTTGGATGATGGAGGTTTCTTTTGGGGAATGGTAAGTTATGTTAGATTTTTTGTTTTCTTTTCATGCTAAAACTGTAGACAAAGGTTATGTAATTAATATTACCTTGATATTTATGGATTTGATGTAAATGGAACAATATATTTATTAACATAATGAAATTTCTCCTAAAGTATTTTTATTAATTAGTTAAATGCAGTTACAAATTAAGGAAATAAACCTGACACAATATAAACAATATTCTGGAAAAAATTCAAAAATACACATGTTTAAAAAAAAAAATCACACGTTATAAAAAAATTTCACAAAATACACAGGTTTGGGCATCACTGTGGTCCTCAACCGTAGTGAATGCATTCACCGCGGTTGACGGTCACGGTGAACGCCTAACGTAATACTGAAACTTCAAACAAACGTAACGTTGCGCTCGGTTATCCGATTGTAGTGAATTTTTTTTAATCCACATTACTTTTCAAGATCTTTCAACCTGCAACAATCATTCATCCCAAAAAAAATTCCTTTGCTACCCAAACGAGCAATTTTTCGATTTTGACAAACTTTGGAAGACCATAATTTTGTGCTCCGCAATCCGAATGTCATGAAACTTTTTTTGATTTCGCATAACTTTTGAAGGACTACAACTTTGATCATAACCATAATTTTGGAATGTATGTGGATTTGTGAAAAGTAAAGACAAAGTTATTCCCAAAATCCTGTATACCCAAAAATATTTCTTTTTTAAAAATTATTTTCTAGTAAAAGTTGTAGTTCTTAAAAAGTTATACGCAATAAAAAAAAACTTTACGACGTTTAGATTGAGGAGCTAAAAGTTATGGCCTTCCAAAGTTTGGCAAAATCGAAAAATTGCTCGTTCGGGGTAACAAACGACATTTTTTTTTTAGATGAAGGCTTGTTGCAGATTGAAAGATCTTGAAAATTTATGCGGAATAAAAAAAATTATCTACAATCGGATAATCGAGCGCAAAATTACGTTCATTTGAAGTTTCAGTGTTACGTCAGACATTTACCGCGGCCGTCAACCGCAATGATGCATTCACCGCTTTCGTCTACCGCATTGATGTCCAAACATGTGTATTTTGGGAATTTGTGTTTATAACGTGTGTATTTTGAGAATTTTTTTGCAAAACATATTTTGAGATTTCTTCCCAATATTCTCACTATTGATTCAAAATCAACCAAGTTATAGAGATCTATAAACAATCACGGATTGTGTATCATTGAATTTTCAACTGAATATACCATATAAGTTCAAGGAAAGTCCATGTCTTTTACCTACAATATGATTCTTGTACTTGAAATATATGTGCTACGTGTTATTAAAGGGAGGTATGTGACTGCAAGGTAGAAAATGCACCAAGGACATATAAATTCTTTAATTTTCATGTTGGAAACTAACATGATATCGCTAAATCAAGACCTTAATAATTTTTGTTAACATTTATTTTTTATTAAATGATTACATTTGTTCAACAAAAATATGATTATATTTAGTAAAAACATAGATAAATGAAGAGATACTAGTAAGTAGTAAAATATCATATTCAACAATGAACGATGAGATACTAGCATGTGGCATAAACGTCCACTATACATAAACGTCAAATAACCGACGATCAAACATAGTTTGAGATATTTATGTCTAAATCGAAAGGATAAGATATATGATAATTTTGCTAAGTTTAATTATTTATAGTGGTATTAACATTTTTATAAACTAATTCCATGGTCTCCTTCCATTTCTAATTTGGCGCCCCTTTGGAACACGATCCCGCCATTTGCTGTATACTCTCGCGCGCTTTTTATCTTCCAAGTGCCTGCCATCCAACCCCTTCTAATTCAGCCTTCTCTTCCAGTTTTCTTAGTTTCTCTAGTCGAGTTGAAATCCGAAGCCGTCCGATTCCACTGCAAATCCCCGCGAACTATCACTCCGGTAACTCGGTAAGTCATCGCACGGCCAGTTCTACTTGTTACTCTCTTTTCTCAGTGTCCTTCTAGCTATGGATTCTGTTCTCGTTGGAGCCAAAAGGGTTCTCACTTCTCAGTGTCGCCATTAGTCCAGATCCTCGTTTACCGACTGCGTTCTCAGCCGGGAAATCAATCCCGATTAGGGTTTCTGTGCCTTCTCTTTCCGGGGGGGTCTTGATTTGTTCCCAAACCCTAGATCTTCTGCTTTTGAAACCACCATCACCGCCTCCAATCGTTCTTCTCCTTCACAGCGGCGCAGTCGCATCCTCTCTCACCCAACGGGCAGACTTCGATCTACTCCCCTTTTGCGCCATCTCGCCCTCATCTCCTACCCGGTCCGCCAAACCCTAATTATGTGATTCTGTTTTCCACCCGCTGTGATTTCATTTAGGTTTGCGAGAATCGATCGAGGTTCATAGTCTCGTTGTATCCTAACTGACACATCAATCCCAACTTGATTGTCTTAGATTGACTATGCGTTGCTCCACATGTTTTTTGTTATTGATATGTTGAAGTTTTTGAGGGGGAGGTATTGTTGATCCATGTTGCTTCCAGACTCCAGTTAGCCATTCTTTAAACTAATGTTGTGTATATACTGATCCGTGCAGAGATAATGGACACATCAAACCCTGCAATTCTTGTGAATGGAAACCTGCTGCCAACACATGTGAGGAAGAGAGTCAGGACCGTGATTCAAGTACTGAACTCCGATCGGGGTTCAGTCATTGGGAAATCCACAGATGATCAGCAGCTAGTCATAAAGGGCTCCCCGCCATCTACGCCACTCACCAAGTTTGTGGAGGTCATTGGCATTGCTGATTCTGACAAGTCCATCCAAGCCGAGATATGGACCAACTTTGGCGACAACTTTGGTAAACGATTTCTGTTTCCTGTGCATTCCATCATAATGTCTCTCTCGGTTGTATGAGACCTGGTTTTTTCTGAGCACAATGTTTGCTTTGTTGTTCAGATGCATCTTCCTTCAATCAGCTTTGCCAACTTGCAAATGGTGAATACCAGCACTTGTTCCTGTGAGCAGCCAGCACCCTGCCAATGGGTTTATGCAGTAGTTCAGTAGCTTGTGAATTTTGCAATCGGATGATGGTACTGTTTGTTTGGTTCTGATAGTGTTACCTTTGAACATGTCTTGTCTTTAGCTTTTGTTGGGAATGGAATTCAGAATTATGGGTCTCTAGTCTGTAGTTTCTGCTGCATTGAGGGCTCTGACCGAGTTTTTGTTCGTATTTGGGATGCCTTGCATTATGTCCAGCAAATTTGGGATCGTTTTGCAAATATACCAAACGAATGAAGAGAGAGAGAGAGAGAGAGAGAGAGAGAGATAGAGTTTTCTGTTTGGGATCATTTAACATGGCTGGAGGAGAGGAGACGGAAGAAAGGGTACAGGGGGAACTTGTGATGATGATAGTACTTATTTGGTCATTCAATTCATTAATTTACATGTCACATGTCACATTGAGCATTGAATTCGTTTTTAATAGACGCAAAGCCCTTGTGTCAATCGTATTTACCAATGTTAGTTCTTTTGTCAATTTCTTCTTAATAGTTAACATAACAGACTTTTTATGACGGACTTTTTATTTGGAGACCGTCGAAAGTTGTGTTAAATTTTACATCTTTTTTTAGCCAAGGTATAAATAAGTACATTGAACAAATTATTGAAAATAAGTGAATACACTTGAGCTCACAAATATTGTTTTTGAATCAATCGCCAATTAAGTGTTCGAGATGGAGATATGAACACTCGATTTTCCATTTTATGGTGAACGAGCATTAGAAGCATAAGGAAATAAGTTGTTTACAAGATGAACATGGGCAGTGGGTGGAGAGGAAGGCAGAATTGGCGGAGATTGCTAGGGGTTACTTCATTGAGTTGTTCAAGGCCGGAAATTGTGAATATGAGTCGGTTGTAAACACAATGACGCAGGTCGTAACCAATATAGTAAAAAACGTGTTTCTAAGTAGAAGCGTTTTGGTAACCTAGAAACGTAAAAATGTAAGTTTTGAAGCGTGTTTTTAACTACATTAGTAACTAGTAATCGTGCCCGGCCCGTTGGCCGGCGGAGGTTTCTATTTCTTCTTGAAGGAAAGATTGAATTTGTGAAATATCAACAGAATATGTGAAACAAAATTTTAACTAAGTTTTGTCATATATTCTTTTCAACTTAAACAATACCAAATTTATCATGGCAGAAGTAAAGTGTGTATATAAAATTAAAGAAGTTTACAATTGCGAACGAATTGGATAAACCAACTTCATGTTATAAAGTTACACATTGAAACTCCAATTGATCACCTTGCAGAATGGTAAGCATTAAGCAAAACGCAAATCAGAAACAATTCCCATACATGAAAATTGACCTACTAAATATTGACCGTATATATAAGTTTGCTTGGCTTGGTCTAAAAAATTTTAGGCAACAAATAGATGAGGTTCGTTCTTTATTGAAATAATATCGTTTGTTTGTAGACTTTCGATCTCTATCCATAAAAGGCTTTCACAACAACCAGTTGACATCTTTTCATTATTAGTCTCTGTCAATATACATTTGAATAGTTTATCCTCGAATTTAGGGATGCAAATTTTGTGGTGTATGATCATTATTGCACTTATCACTATTTGTGGAAACCTTGGTAAGCTTTTCTTGTCTTGGTAAGCATGAGATTACATTGTATATCTACGGTCCACAAATTGGAGCACATATTTTTATTTAAATTGGGTTAAATCTATTGCTTTGGTATATAATTGGTGTTAATCTATGAAGAGGCCAAGTGAGAATTTATCTGGCAATAATATCCCTAACCCAAAGTAGAAGGGGGACAATATAGTATCAAAAGCTAAGGAATCACCTAAAATTGGACCGATGTGGAGTTTGGTTATTGGAATTGCATGAAACTTGTTCATGTATAATAGTTTATTGAATTCATATTTGGCAAAGCATTAGACAAATCGATAGACATACAATTGTAGGAAGTTAAAGCCGGAGTTTAGGACTTTGCCAAATACTACTCGCAGAACTGCAATCTCGGGTATAATTCTTTTTTTGAGGTGGGTAATCATCAAGTCTACATCGAAGTAAATTGTACTGAATCGATATCTAGACTGAATTGAATAAGATTGAGTATATTTTGATTATTGATCCTACAAATTATCTTATTATGTAACACTCCAACATTTAAGGTTCAGGTTCAACAATAATTAATAAATAGACGGTTGGATGGACGGTTACGTGCGACAACCATGGATTAAGAATAATAATAATATTGATTATATTATTATTGTTATTATTATATAATAAAAAAAGAGAAGAGAATTAACCCCACTCCCCACCCGTTACACTTACACCCTACCCCACCAATTAACCCTCCTGTAACGTCCTTTTTTTCCCATCCACCTCCTAATTATTAAAACTAATTAACGGACGGGTTGAGTAATTACAGGGGTGTCCTCCCTAGCAATACGGGTTGCGCAGGAAGAGCTTATGTGGCAAAGGCTCTTTATTGACATCCGCTTATAGTATTTTGTAGATAAAAAAAGAGTAATTATGCATAGAAGCATTTTAATGACCTAAAAGCGTAAAATCTTAAGTTTTTAAGTTTTAAAACGTGATTTTTACTACATTGGTGGTAACACAAGATGACACCGGTTACTTGTTGGCTCCCGAAAGAAATTCGATAGGCGGTGTTTGCTATGAGCCCGAATAAGGCACCTGCCCCGGACGGCTATAAGCCTATAAGACCTTTGATGCCAAGATAATCTCAGCCAAACAATCAGCGTTTGTACAGGGATGATCTATTGTTGATAATGGGACGATAACTTTTGAGAGCCTAAAACAAAAAACTAATGCAAAGTTTGGGGAGTGTTGATGTTACCGTTATCTAGAATTATTTGGGCATTGAATTTGGTTCATGCACAAACTTGCTTGGTTGTTGTAAGTAATATCTAAGCACTTCAATTAATCGTATGGGTGACAAACAAATGTGTCATGTCAAAAAGTTCAGGAAATTTTGTTATTTTTGACCGAATAACATTCTTGAGTTGAAACTTGAAAGTGATGTAATGGCAAAAATCAACACATCCAATTGAATTTAGTTTTCAAATGTTTAAGAAAAGAAATCATGGCATCAACATGCCAGATGTAGTAGAGTTCAGTGACCAAATTGCTATTTAACCCCAGCCGGGAACCGGCCAGCCCCGCCCACTCGTCCTCGAAGCTAATTAAGTAATTAACTAAAAGCGCAGGCCCCGCCAAAAAGTTCAGATAAACAAAACGAAAATGGCCCGACCCGACACCGTTATCCGGGCCCCTCTCTCTCTTTCTTCCTTCCTCTCTCTCTTTCCTCCTTCCCCTTCTGAATCTCAGAAAAAATAGGGTTTCCTCAACATAAACTCCCACAGCGCAACGAATCCCCGCCATTTTTATCCCGTGCCAGGCGTTGCTCTGTACTCTTTACTCCCCATACTCTCCTGGTAATCGCGCTCTCTCTATCTAATTATGACCTTTACCTCTTTCCCTTAAATGTCAATGGAGCTCTATGAACCCTTCTCATTTGTCTATCTTCATTTTACTGAATGGGACATCTCTTTCTTACATTTCCTTGCTAATTTTTTATTCGCTTCATCAAAGTTTGAGCTCCCTCGTTTGGTGAGCGTAGAAGGGCTGAGGAATTACTGGGTCTGAGATGTGAATGTTTGGGTTGGCGGTGAAAGTGGTTTTGCGGGGATGTCTAGCCTAGCTGTAGGTTAATGAGCAATCGATTTCGTGTTTGGTTTGTGGTGAAAGTTCACAACTTTTGGCTTCATTTCCCACTAATGGGCTGGCTCTTTCCATATTTGGTTCATCTTTGGCCATTTGGAGGCCTTGTGGAGCTGGTATTGCTCAAGCAGTGTTTAGGAGCAACTTTGCGTTGTTGGTGTTAGTTTGCTTGTCCCCTATTTGGAGAACAATGGAATTGTATTTGGTCATTTAGGCTGCCCAATGGTGTTTGTCTTTGGTATATCAATGATGGAATAAGAAGTTAGTTTCCATTGTACTAGGTGCGCCCTATTTGTTCATGATTCAGTATATAATTTGAGCAGAACTTTAGAACTTATATCCTCCTTTTGGCTTCTGTATTGCTAGTTACTACACCCGTACTAAAAATGCACTGACTGCAAGGAATAGGGGATCAATTTAGTAACAATGGGTTAATTTCTCTAAAATATCAATGTCGCCTTATTAATCTTGGTTTGGATTATGTTTAAAGTGGCAGTGCAGAATAGGGAGTTAGTCTGCAGTCATGTACTTAAGAGCATGTATCTCCCACCCATTAATCCCCAATCTTATTTTCAAACTAATTTTATTATATGGTAATCATGTGATTATTTTTCGGTTTTCCTGATTGTTATAGTCTATTACTGTCGCACTGTGTTGAGTTGAGCTTTGCTTTTTTAGAAAGTCGATGGAATTAGTTCTGTATCTCATTCATACCTTTCTATTTTGTTTGTTTGTTTTTTCTGTTTGGCCCTTGTTCTGGGTAGATGTATATCTCCAGATAGTATTGAACAATCAAAACCACACCTATTTTCTGGGCCAATGGCATTTCAATATCAAGCATCGGCCTGCTTCATTATTACATATTTTTTCTGTTTCACCTATTGAACATCGTCCTCTTCATCATCAGTTGTGACCCTCCCTTGCTTGTTTTATTGCTATTTGGCACTTCGTTGGATCCCTTTAATTGAATATCACTTCTTACACCTCCTTTGGATCCTTATCTTTCTTATGGCTCAAATTCTCGAAATTCTCTTGCTCTTGAAATCCATTTCGCCTCTCACTTTGTTTCCACCTTTCAATACTTGTACTATTTCCAACTTTAACGGAATGCACTTAGCATTAAACTTAAGTGGTATCGGGTGCACAAATAATAGAGTTCAGTGGTACCCGATGCCCTATTCAAATTTAAGTGGTATGTCTGCCCTAATTTTGAAACTTAAGTGGTATCCGAGGTATTTTATTTTTATCCCAGTCCATGCGAATTGCAATTGAATTTTTTTCTGGATTTCTGGAAGAAATTTTGGGTGGACGGCGGGGGAAAGAGGGAAAATTGGAAGGGGATTATGGCGACCGGAGGATTGCTGCTTGGGCGCTCATTTCCGTTGCTGCTAATCAACAGTAGCAAGACGGTGAAGCTCAGCAATGGCTATGGCCGCCGCGCCTCTTACTCTTTTCTCGGCGGGAGTAGTAATCCTCTTTGGCGGCAAAACAGCGTGGCAAAGTTTTCAGCGAAAGCATTGGCGAACGAGGAAGCGCCGGACGTCCGGCGACTGGCTAA